TCTTAGAACAAAGTTCCCTTAATGTCCAACCCTTTACGACTTACCTGTTCTCAGGCTTTGTAGAGTGCATTCTCATATTTCTATTTAGGAATTGATCATTGTATATCCATCCATTCATCAACATTAATAACTTTCCATAGTTTGCTCACTCCATACATTTTTATAAATTTAATTTCATTTTTTAAATATTTTATTTTATATTTAGAGAGAAGGGAAGGGGAATGAGAGGGAGATAAACATCAATGTGTGGTTGCCTCATAAACACCCGCTACTGGGGACCTGGCCCACAATGCAGGCTTGTGCCCTGACTGGGAATCCAACAAGCAACCATTTGGTTTGCACGTCAGCACTCAATCCGCTGAGCAACACCAAGCAGGGCTCCATAACACTTTAACAGAAATAATCTCCAGTCCCCATGCACACTGTCACTTCATTGATAAGTGAGATGATGATCATTTCCCTGCCAGGTAGAGAAATACAACCATCCAAAACGTCTTTCTCACGTTCACATGCCCATTTTCCATAAGGAAACTTAAAACTAAGGGCTAGGGATGATCTTAGAGTTCAACAGGAAGAGACTGAATTGTTCCTGCAAATGACCTGATACCTGATCTCTGCTTAGGGGACATAGCTGTGCCCACAGTTATTATTCTGTGGAACATGATCTATACAATTTTTCTTGTATGCACTGCATGCTAAAATGTGCACTTGTATTTCTTCAATAACTGGGGAAATTTGTTTGACTTATGACAATTGATAGGTTACCATGAAAATGCAATGAAAGCAAAATAATTCTCAAGATCCCGGTAATTTATGAGGGCTGCTGAGAGCTGTGCCACGTGGAAACCAGATCATCAGTAGCACTTAGAAGGGCTTTAGAGATTTAGCACTAATCCAAGTCGTTCTAATGACAGCAGTAAGGAGGAAACAACAGGGGAAAGAGGCTGATTTTCAGATAGTGTCCGTGTATGCCACTTGGTGCCTTTAGATGGATTATGTTGTTAGGAACATAAGATCAGATTGTAAACATCACCAAAGATGATGCAGACTCATCCCATTCTTGAAAAAGCAATGAGCATAACAATGCTAATAAGGCTGTGCACATAGACCCAACCTGACTTGGACCACTGGCCTGTCACAAGCAATCAGGAAAAATGTCTGTTCAGAAGGACTAGTCCCTACTGAAGTATTTCTGGTGCAGACATGGGGAGGTTGGAAAGGGGGATGTGGTTGCTGAACATGGTCAGGGCTGCAGGAAAAACACAGTGAGCCTCAATTTCTCATCCAGCCACTACTTGATGTTTTGGCATTTCTGTGCCACACTGAAAGAAGGGTTGTCTCGGGCCACAGATTAAATACATTGCAACAGGTAATCTCAAATAACGCATTTTTTGAACCATAAGATGCACCTAGGTTTTAGAGAAAAATAAGAAAAAAAAATTTTTGCAAGCAAAAAATGTGGTTAAATATTTAATAACATGAATAACATAATATTTCATCAATGTAAAAAGTAAAGCTACATTTGGACTATAAGATGCACCCCCTTCTCTTCCCAAATGGGGGGCGGGGAATGTGCGTCTTATAGTCGGAAAACGTGGTAAATGTCATAAGGTTGTAAGTTAGTTTACAATTTTGTGTCAGCCACATTAATAGCCATCTGGGCTGCATGTCCGCCAGGGGCCACTGATTGGACACACCTGGGACACAGGATCAAGGGGACGCTTTCCTGACTGAAGAAGTGGTGAACCGTCCACTAAGTAGACAACAATACAGCAGGTCTCTAGCATCACTTCTGAATATATCCCAGGTATCAGGGCCAGCTGTTCTCAGCACTGCAGGGAGGTTCTCGGTGACATGTACAAAAAACCCTTGAACAATCAAACAGAGTGCATAATATTCACAAGAGTACATAATATCCTAGCCTGAAATGCAAAAGGTAAGTGAATGTGCAGAAAGACCCAGCTGAGAATCACTGGGGTCTCATTAGTGTGAGCTGTGTACTAAGCTCAAAAAGGAGATAGACAAAATGCATCTAAGACTCAAAGTAGGTTCCCTGGGAGAGACCATTGGAAATGGCAGATAAGGTTCCCATGAAGATCATGAGGCAGATGTTAAACACCCTAAGACATCAGTAAAATGAAGAAAATTCATGATAATTAAAACAATGAAAACAGCAGCTAGCCAAGTTTCTCACGTCGTTCCCTGATGTTTGTTGTCGTCCTGCCTTGTGCTGAGAGGCCTATGGTAGAGATTGTCCCCAGCCCTGAAGCCAGACTCACATGTTCAAATCCAGCTACTTCAATCTAACAGTTGTCTGCTCTGTGACCCTGGAAAAACCCCTTCTTCTCGACCCTATTTTTCCCAGAAGTACAATAACAGTTACTAATTCCCAGGTGTTGTTAGGATTGAAAAATAATAATGGTAAAAAAGCAAGTTGCCCTGGAAAACTTTCATTCAGAGATGAAGGCAGCTCTTTCTTAAAAATATCTTATTCTCTGGATTTTAGAGAGGGTAAGGAAGGGAGAAGGAGAGAGAAATATTGAAGTACAAAACCATTAATTGTTTGCCACTCCCCTAACTTGGAAACTGGACCGACTCACAGGCATGTACCCTGACCGGTAATTGAACACACAACCTTTTGGTTTACAGGACATTAAACTTTCTGTGCCACTGAACCCAGAGCAAGGTTGCTTTATATCTCTATTTAAACTTATAGACTGAATCACTTTTCTGTTACCATAACTACGGTCAATAATCTAAGATTGAAACGAGACTGCCAAGATATGGGGAGTCTAATCACTGTTTTCTTGTCTTTTGTTTCCAGAAGGGCTTTTAGACACAACAAATACCCACCGATCCTCATACCACCTGGTGTACCTTCAAGTCCCGCTGCAGCCCAGCATCCCCAGATGAAAGACCATAGAAAGGCCTAAAAACTTTGAAGCAAAAATTATTATATTATTAAATGTTTGAATTTACAAAAGCAAAGAAGTAGGTTAATAATGCAGATTTATTCTTTAAAGTATATGATATGTATGTACTACGTTGTGTACAGCAAAAAAGAATCCAAATAATTTGGATATGTTTACCACTATTAAAAGGAATTATTCCATGAAAACAATATTTCACAAAATTATTAACAAAAATTTTTAAAGTTATTTGTTATTCAAGGAGTGAAAATGGGTGACACTACAACATAGCTCTTAGTTGTTTCACTCTCCTATTTTTTAAAAGATTTTATTTATTTATTTTAGAGGGGAAGGGAGGAAGAAAGAGAGAAACATCAATGTGTAGTCGCCTCTCGTGCACCCTCCACCAGAGACCTGCCTGCAAACAGCACATGCTCCCTGATGGGGTTCGAACCAGTGACCCTTTGGTTCACAGGCTGGTGCTCAATCTACTGAGACAACCACCCAAGGCTAACTCTCCCATTTTTTAAAGGAGAGTAGCCCAAAATGATAAAATAATAGATAAAGTATAAAAGCGCATAATATACTAAAAATAAATCCCCACTACACACACTCCAGAAAAATGCTTTTCATAAATCCTTAGAGAAATACAAGTAGAACAACAAAAAAAGGATGACATATATATGAAAAAAGCTAAAATTATAAAAATTAAACAAATCAACATTTTGTTAGAGTGGGGGACTACAACCATCATACACTGTAACCATGAATGCATAAAGGCGCAATTAGTTAAAGTCACGCTTTGTAAGTTACTCCAAAATTTAAACATTAACTATCTGAGACATCACCACACTGTGAACATATATAATTAAATTTGGGCATTTTCAGAAAGTTTTTTTCAGTATCATTACAATGAAAAAAAAAAACATTTCCTACAATCTAACATTTTACAAAGTGACAACTCTGTAACATCAAAATAGTAAGTCTCGTGGCTAAAGATTTCTCATGTTTACTTCATGCATGAAGCCTTTCACAAGTGTGAACTATGATTAACATGCCTATGGAAAGGAGGTGAAAGATTTCTCCCATTTCATGTCATCATAAAGGCTATCTCCTGTGTAAACTTTCTGATAAGAAAGGAGAAAGAATCAAAAAACATTTTCCCACATTCCCTGTACTCATAAGAACTTTTACCACAGTGAAACTGGGAATATAATGGAGGATTGTGCTACATAAAAAATTCTCATATTGCAGGTATATAAAAATTTTTCTCCTGCGTCACATCTCAGAAGAGAACAAAGGTAATGGATACATAATAAAAGATCTCAAAAATTTCCTTGTTATAAGAACTTAGACATTGTGAATTCTCTAATGACAATAAAGGGAATGTCTACAGTTCAAATATTTCTAATATATGCACTGGCTAGTGTGGCTCAGTTGATTGAGCACCGGCCTGCAAAAAAAGGGTCACCAGTTTGATTCCCAGTCAGGGCACATACCTGGGTTGTGGGCCAGATCTCCAGCAGGTGGTGCATGAAAGGCAACCACATATTGATGGTTCTCTCCCTCCCTTTTCCTCTGTCTAAAAATAAAATGAATAAAATCTTTAAAGAAAATTCTCATAGTCACATCACTCAAATTGTATTTTGACAGTATAAACTCTATCATACTAGTGGAAATCAATGACACAAGAAAAATATTTCCCAAATCACTGCAGGCATAAGGTCATTCTCCAGGGTGACTCTCTGATGACAACTGAGGGGACTGCTACAGAAGTTTTTCCCACTTTCACCACACTCATGAGGCCTTTCTCCAATGTGAAGTCTTTAAGGAAAATGAAGGTTATTGATCAAATATTTCTCACATTCCCTGCAGCCATAAAACTTTGCTCAGGTTTGTAGTCTCTGATACAAATGATAGTTAATGCAACAGATAAAAGATTTCCCACATTCACCACACTCTTAAGTGTTTCTAGGTGTGAACAATTTGATGGTAATTGACATGAGTGGTACGCAAAAAGGACTTCCCCATTTAGTGCACGCATAAATACTTTAACCACTGTGAACACTTTGATGAAAACGGAGGGCAGAGCTACAGGTACAAGATTTCCATGTTCACTGCACTCATATGGTCTTTCTCAATTGTGTGCTTTCTGATGATAATGGAGAGAAGAGCAAGTGGTATAAGATTTCTCACATTTGCTACACTTATAAGGCCTTTCTCCAGTGTGAACTCTGTGATGTTTACGCAGGTCAGATCTATGGGTAAAAGATTTACCACAATCACCGCACTTATGAGGCCTTTCTCCAGTGTGAATTTTCTGATGACGATGGAGGGTAAAGTTTTGAGAAAAAGATTTCCCACATTCACCACACACATAAGGCCTTTCTCCGGTATGAATTCTGCGATGATACCGGAGGCTACATTTACGAGTAAAAGATTTCCCACATTCACCACACTTATAAGGCTTTTCTCCAGTGTGAACTTTGTAATGACGACGGAGGGAACAGCTACTGTTGAAACATTTCCCACATTCAGCACACACGTAAGGCCTTTCTCCAGTGTGAACTCTCTGATGAAAAAAGAGGACAGGTTTACTGGTGAAAGATTTTTCACATTTACCACACTTGTAAGGCCTTTCTCCAGTATGAACTCTCTGATGAGCATTAAGGGTACTTCTTTGCTTAAAAGACTTCCCACATTTGGTGCACACATAAGGTCTTTCTGCAGAGTGAATTTTCTCATGTTTACGGAGGTCAGAGCTACGAATATAAGATTTCCCACAGGTACCACATTTATAAGGCCTTTCTCCTGTGTGAACTCTCTGATGAATACGGAGGGCAGAGATTCTGGAAAAAGACTTTCCACATTCACAACACAAAAAACACCGTCTTCTAGTAAGGAAACTATGGTCTTCAGCAAGTCTGTCATCACAGCCACTGGCTTGATGTTCTGTTGCAGTGTAATAATTTGGAGTTTGAAAAGCCATTTCAGACCTAGAAATTTCATTTCCCCTATTCATGGTGAAGGCAGCCAATTTTTCAAGATGTTTGGAGGTGATGAGGAAGCAATTTTCAACCTGACCTGATGTACAAGGCTTCCACGACACATCGGAATTAGAGCTGTTTGCAAGGGAGACCTTGTTCACACTGCTTATGAAACAATTCTGCGTTGTGTCCTGCTCCTGGAGCTGGTGACTCTGTGCACTGAAAGAAAATGGTTCTGCACATGCCCCGCACCTCAGCAGAGTTGGGACTTGTTGGCTGCCCTGCTGGTTAAGCAAGAGTAAAATGTCTCTTAAGACACACCCACAACGCTCACATGGGTGGCTTTTCTGGGAAGACAGCGCTGACTTCAGATTCACAGCCTCTGAGACTCTTACAGTAACATTCTGTTCAGTGGGTGCCTCCACAACCGTTGGTCCACAGCAGCAACCTAAAGAAAAACAAACACTGGTGAATTATATACTGACCTATAGGGAGCATGTTTTTTTCCTCACTAATTTAGCTCTGTAACATCTGGCATGATTCTATGGGATGATTTCCAAGACAAAGGAGAGTCTCTAAAAAAGCCCCTCAGGGCTATAATAACGGGCAACTCACGAATTGAAGGAAAGCAGAACACGGTGAGACACAAAGAAGAGAGGCCGGCTTTGCAATATATTCCTTTCTTAGAGGCTGCTTGCAAAACAATTCCTGCTTGTGTTGTAAGGCTGTATAGAGAATATGAATGTGCCCCAAACCATGAAAATTAACCACAGAGGAGCAGATGCTGTGCTAGGATTTATACAAATACGTGCACATTTCAAGGTGCAACATGCATTGATCATAATGTTAGAGCACACCAAAAAGACGCCTCAGAGAAAGGGTTGTGGTGTACAGGTTAGATAGGCAGAGATCACCCATGGCTGGAAATCAAGAGTGCAATGGGCAATTATTAAAAGTAACAAACTAGTAAGGTGTCAACACTGGGAAAGGACAAGTTGATTAATGTGTGGCCACTGGCAATGGTGACAAAATATAGTTAAACAGAACAGGTTCCTCATTAGGTTTTAACCAAGCCTTGGAATCAAATTTCCCCAAATGCCATTTACCAATGCTAGACACCCTATGAGCCCATCCTTTCACAGCTGGATGCCTGTCCCTCTTGTGATACACAAAGGACTGTTCCCTCCCCTCCCTAGTGGAATTACATTCCAAAGAGAAAGCAGAAGAGATGACTGAGCAACAAAGTCATAAACCAATTCTGCACCAAAATCCCAAAGAACAACATCTACATGAGTGAAAATGGCAAGATGGCAGAATAAAAAATATCAGTGTTCGGCTCTGGCTGGTGTGGCTCAGTGGACTGAGCACAGGCCTGTGAACCACAGGGTCAACCAGTTTGATTCCCAGTCAGGGCACATGGGCCAGCACTGCAGGCCAGGTCCCCAGTTGGGGTTGTGTGAGAGGCAACCACACATTGATGTTTCTCTCCCTCTCTATTTCCTTCCCTTCTCTCTCTAAAAATAAATAAAATCTTTTAAAAAAAAAATACCAGTATTCAACCCCCTTCAAGAATAATTAGACAATTATCCATGATAAACAGCATCCCTTCAGGATAAGGGAAGAGGCTTATGAGACCAGTTATTTCAAAGACCTACAAGGTAGAACATAATAGAAAGAGCTACACAAAAGGACAGCAGGAAAGATTGGTTCAAGAAACAGGGTTAGATTAAAACACATGGGTAAGAACTTCTGGGAGACACTGAGCTTGTGCTACCATTGACTCTAGCGGCCTACTTTGTGGCACCAAAGACTCCAAGAGATGACTAAATATTTGGAAAGCCGCAGCCCTGGCCACTGAGCACCCCTTCAATCTTCACATCGCTGACCTTGGGCATGGGGAAGCAAGAACGATAGGAAATGAAGCTTCTCCTCAGCCCAAAACACACCACACCACCTAGGAAACACTCTTTTTAAAAAAAAAATTTATTTTATTTTTTAGAGAAGGGAAGAAGAGAGAAAGACAGGGAGACAAACACAGTCAGGGCTAGGAAGCACTCTTATAAGCATATGCAGATAAAACTATTCCTCTGAACAGAACTGGTTCCTGAAGTCCAAAAACAAACAAACAAAAAAGCTGCTTCATCAAATATCAGACATTGATACTAAGACAAAGGGAGATATTTGAAAAATGACAAAAGGAACATCACAATGTTAAAGAATTAAATTAAAAGATAGAGGAATATAAATTGCCAAAAAAGAATACAAATAATCATTTCTAAAAACTCCATTAAGGTACAAGCAAATACATAAGGAACTTGACATAATGAACAAATGTGGGAACAAAACATGGGGATCACAGAACAGAAATCGAAAAATAGAAACAGAAATTGAAAGTTGAAGAATACAATAAATAAAATGAAAAATGCAAAAGAGTTTCAAAAGCAGACACAATCAAGGACTAAAATGAATACATCACCTCAGAGGCAGGGGATTTAAAATACTCCATGTAAAAAATATTGTGAGGACAGCCTTGGTGAATTTTGGAATGCCACAGAAATAACTTGTATTTGCATCATGGGAGTCCCAGAAAAGGGGAAAAGAGAGAAGATGACACACAGGTAAGTGGGAGGGGAAGGCAAAGCATAAAAAATTTATTTCAAAAATGAGTTAAAGATTGACTTTGAAATATGAAAAAGAAATGTGAATGGCCATGTTCAACATCCTTCCAGGTCCCTGTATGCATTCAATGGAGGATTTCAGCAGGACATTTTGTAATAAAAGGGTCAAATACCAAAACCAAAAAGAAGTTTCAAAGACCAAAGACAATAGAAACTCCTCATGCAAGGACACATTCCCATAAGGCCAGTAATAGATTTCTCTGAAGAAACATTGCAAACTTGGAAAATATCAAATGATATATTCAAACACTACAAGAAAACATCTGCAAAACACAATACTTTATCCCAAAAGCCTCATCTTCAGAAGTCACGAGAAAAAACCTTCCTGGAAACACAAATGATGAAGAAGTTAATTTCTACTCATCCTGACTTACTAGAAATGCCAAAAAAAAAAAAAGATCTCTGAGCTGCTATAAAGGCATACTACATAGAAACAGGACACTGGGGAACCCGCTGCAGTGTCAGGCCTCAGGAGCCATCCAGGCCCAGCAATGCACTCCGACCAAGATGGAGGTGTAGGCAGATACACTGTGCCTCCTTACACAACCAAAAGGATAACAACGAATTTAAAAACAAAAAAACAACCAGAACTGACAGAAAACTGAACTGTATGGAAGTCCGACAACCAAGGAATTAAAGAAGAAACATTCATCCAGACTGGTAGGAGGGGCAGAGAGTACTCACAGCAAGGCAGCTGCTGGTGGAGTGGGTGGTCTTACATTGAGTGCAGATAAACCAAGAACAACAACTGAGGAACAAGAGAGACCATGCAACCCAGGGTTCCAGCGCGGGGAAATAAAGCCTCAAACCTCTGACTAAAAACACCAGTGGGGGTTGAGGCAGCAGTAGGAGAAACTCCCAGCCACAGAGAAGAGTTCATTGGCGAGACCAACAGAGTGCAAGAACAAGCCCACCCACCCAGGAATTAGCAACAGAAGGGCCCAATTTGATTGTGGGTAACAGGAGGAATGACTGAAAGCTGGTGGAGAGTGGAGCAAGCAGTACTGTTCCCTGGACTGCTCCCCCACATACAGCGTCACAACGTAGCCATGTGGGTTGTCCCGCCCTGGTGAACACCTAAGGCTTTGCCCCTTACTATGTAACAGGCATGCTGAGACAAAAAAATGGCCCAAATGAAAGAAAAGATCAAAGCTCCAGAAAAAATACAACTAAGTGACGAAGAGATAGCCAACATACCAGATGCACAGTTCAGAACGCTGGTAATCATGATGCTCACAGAATTGGTTGATTATGATCACAAATTAGATGAAAAAATAAAGGCTATGCTAAGTGAAATAAGGGAAAATGTACAGGGAACCAACAGTGATGGGAAGGAAACTGGGACTCAAATCAACGGTGTAGACCAGAAGGAAGAAACATCCAATCAGAAAAGAATGAAGGAATGAGAATTTTAAAAAATGAGGAGAGGCTTAAGAACCTCCAGAACATCTTTAAATGGTCCAACATCTGAATTATAGGGGTACCAGAAGGAGAAGAGGAAGAGCAACAAGTGGAAAAGTTATTTGAACAAATAATAAAGGAGAACTTCCCCAATCTGGCAAAGGAAATAGACTTCCAGGAAGTCCTGGAGGCTCAGAGAGGTCCAAAGAAATTGGATCCAAGGAAGAACACACCAAAGTACGTCATAATTACATTACCCAAGATTAAAATTAAGGGGAGAATCCTAGAAGCACCAAGAAAAAAGGAGACATTTAACTACAAAGGAGTTCCCATCAGACTGTCAGCTGATTTCTCAAAAGAGAACTTACAGGCAAGAAGAGGCTAGAAAGAAGTATTCCAAGTCATGAAAGGCAAGGACCTACGTCCCAGATTGCTCTATCCAGCAAAGCTTTCATTTAGAATGGAAGGGCAGATAAAGAGCTTTCCAGATAAGGTCAAGTTAAAGGAGTTCATGTCACCAAGCCATTATTATATGAAGGGACTTATCTAAGAAAAGGAAGATCAAAACAATGAACAGTAAGATGACAACAAACTCAGTTACTAACAACTGAACCTGAAACAAAAACAAAAACAAACTAAGCAAACAACTAGAACAGGAAGAGAATCACAGAAATAGACATCACATGGAGGGTTATCTGTGGGGGAGTGGGTGGGGAGAGAGGGGGAAAAGGTACAGAGAATAAGTAGCATAAATGGTAGGTAGAAGATAGACAGGGGGAGGTTAAGAATAGTACAGGAAATGTAGAAGCCAAAGAACCTACATATATGACCCATGAACATGAACTAAAGGAGGGGAATGAAGGTGGGAGGGGATGTGCAGGGTGGAGGGGAATAAAGGGGGGGAATGGGATGACTGTAGTAACATAATCAATAAAACATATTTAAAAAAAGAAACAGGAAACCATGGAAAGTGTAAAACTCTCTGGTAAGGTCGGATATGAGATTCATAATACTGACAGTTCATTGGTGGATGTCCTTTATTTAACTCTATTGTAAAGGAAAAAGATAAAGTGTATTAAAAAATATACATCACCACTGTCAATATATGTCAACATATGTCAATAGGTACACAATATAGAAAGATGTGAAGTGTGACATCAACACATATAAGAGGTGATGTGGAAGAGAGTGACAGGATAGGATTTTTGCATGCAGTGAAGCTGTTTTCAGATTACGACAAACTATTAAGAGTATGAGTTTTATATAAGTCTTAAAAAAAACAAAACCACAAGCACAATGCGGTGTAATACATGTACAAAAGAGAAAAGAATCAACCCCCCGCCACACACACACACACACACACAACAGCAAAATAGGAAGGCAATAAAGGAACTACAAAAGAAGCCAAAAACATGACAAGGTGGCAACAGTAGGTTCTTCAAGAAATTCTCCAATCAAAGACAGAGTGGGAGAAGGGATGAAAAACACAAGACCCAGAAGAATTTGAGATCTTGTGTCCTGATCATAGGCATAAGTTTGTTTCAAGGAAAAACTTTTAAAAATTCATTCCTGGTTGGTGTGGCTCAGTGGATTGAGTGTGGATTGTAAATCAAATTGTTACAGGTTTGATTCCCAGTCAGGCACATGTTTGGGTTGTGGGTGTGTTCCCAACTGGGGGACAAGTAAGAGGCAACCACACATTGATATTTCTTTCCCTCTCTTCCTCCCTCCCTTCTCTTTTCTCAAAAGAAAAATAAATAAATAATCTTTAAAAACAATTCTCATGGTGGGTGAATAAGGTGAAGAGATTAAAGGCATAGATAGGCCTGCTTTGTGGGCCAGCTCCCCAGTAGGGGGTGCACAAGAGAAAACCAAAATTGATGTTTTTCTCTCTTCTTCCTTCCCTTCCTTTCTCTCTAAAAACAAATAAATAAAATCTTTCAAAAAATATTTCATGCAAATAACACCAAGAGAGCGGGAGAATAACAATTTAATTACTATGTAGCCAACTACAGGGAACCTAAGTACATAAGCAAACATATGAGATCTAAAAGCGGAAAATGCAACTAAACTACTAGAACAAGACTACTAAACAACTTGGATATTCCCCTTCCAAGATGAGTAAATCATCCATTTCAAAAGCAAAAGGAATTATTGAAATTTAAAAACACTACTGACAAAACAGAACTAATAAATATATGCATAGTATGTTATCCAGCTCTGGCCAAGTGGCTCAGTTAGTTAGAGCCCTGTCCCATGCACCACAAGGTTGCAGGTTTGATTCCTGGTCACAGTACAAATGTAGATTGTGGAAACAATCGCATGTTAAAGGCATGTATAGGCAGAAACTGATTGATGCTTCTCTTTCACAATGATAGTTCTCGTTCTCCCTCCCTTCTTTCTTTAACAAATAATAAAAATATTTTGCAACGAGGATAAGAAATATATATAGTTGTAGAAATGTTCAAGAATATAAAAAAAAATACTTTTTCTCACTACTCACAATAGTATTGTGAGGATTCTCACAATACAATACTCACAATACTTGTGAGGATAACACAAGTATTCGGCTTCTCACAATACTACTGAGGTCAAATCCTTCCCTATGAGGGTTCAATATAGCAGGTATGGGGGAAGCAAGGAAAGTAGGGGTCACTGCAAACACACCAACCCTGCCAAGTCCAGGATCCACCCAGAACATTGTGGAAGTGAATGGTGACCCAAATCCACATGGGAGGACAGAGCCACCCCTGAGGAAATGAAGGGCAAAGAGGAAATGCAAAGCCCAGACTTCGTCTCTGATAAGAGAGAGGATTTTTTTTTTTTGAAACTGTGAGTTAGTTTATTAAAATTGAGGGCATTGAAACAAACAGAAAACAACAACGAAACACCCCTACAGATATGATCAAGGGTAAGTAAGCCCCAGAGCAGCTACTGCTGTCCATTTTCCCTGGGTACAAGTCAGGTCAGGACCCTTAGAGCTTAGGATAGAAGCAGCAAACTGCAACCCTGAGGAAAGGGGGGTACAGACAAGGCAAAAAGACTGCTCAGGGAGAGTCAAAGTCTTACCCAGAGATGATACAACAGCATAGTTCTCCAGCATGACATCAAAGTACAGGCGTCTCTGAGACTCATCAAGGAGGAGCCATTCTGTCCTGGAGAAGTACACGGCAACTTCCTCAAGGGTCACAACCTGTCAGAATTAATACAAATGAATGTGGAACAGTCTGTCTGAGACCCTGTATTCTGCTCTTCCCCACATACAACACCTTACAGACCACTCCTTCAGAGAAACAGCAGAACTTGGTGCCAGAGCTGCCTGTTGTCTTATCACAGTCTCATTTATCTCAAACATCATCCTCAGCCAAGACAGGCAGGATAAGAGGAAGTGGGGCAGATAAAGGCCATCTAAACTCAGGGCCATGCCTGCAGCGCCCCTTTCTACCTGCTAAACAATCCCACGGACTCTCCCAAATCATGCCTCCAAAACACAGACATATATGGGCTTAGGCTTCATGAGTAAATCCAAACACCAAGAACCCAGGGTCATCAGCTCATACTTCCTCTAGTTGTGCACACACTGTGTGATTTCTCCCTGCTTCCTGGCTTTACACCCAATTTTGCTCCCTCAGCTCTGCCCCCTTCACCCTCCTGCATGAAAGAGCCTCCACTTTTGCATGACTCCATCCTCTACCCTTCCACAGGTTTCAGACCCATATGTTAGCTGCTCACAAGATGTTGCCACATGGTCTTTGTAACTGATAAAACGTGAAAAAGAACCACTTGATATTCTCAAACGGAATTAATCTACCTCCGTCATCTCCAGCCCAGTTGATGGAACCTCTACTGCTTTAGCTGCTGAGACCAAAAACATTGGGATGGCTTTGAAACCTTTCCTTCTTCCTGCAACTGCAAAATCTGAAACTATCCTTGCCCTTCTTAAAAAAAAATAAAGTGGAAGGGGGTGGATGGAGGTGCAAGAAGGTATGAGGAAGATAAGAAGTAATGTCAAAAAAATTTAATAAAATAATAAAAGATGGACCAAGAATCCAACCTTTTCTCCTACCTGAGGCCCACCTTGGTGCCATCACCTCTCCTATGGATCAGAAAAGTCCAGGATCCAGAGCTTCCGGCCTCTTCCATTAACCCCCATAATCTGTTTCCCACTGGGCAGCCAGGTGGAGCCTGTTACACCCAGGAGAGACCAACTCCTTTGTTTTATGCAAACATCCCATTATCTCCCTAATAGATGCCCAAATTATCATTGGCTACTTTGTAAGTCTGATTCTCCACCCCCTTGTACCTTGTTTTTACCACAAACAAAGGAGACTGAGATATCTATTCCCAGCTCTGTGGCATCTCCAAGCAATTGGAGGTGCAGGCGTCCCTTCCCAGATGACCAGCCACCAACGCTTACACTGGCTAGCTTTGTGGACCAAAAAATAAAAAAAAAGGGATGAGAGCACATACTAAAATAAACCTGATCAGTTTGCGGTGGGGTGGGGGAGGTCCTCTGAGATGGCATTAGGAACTGAGAGACTGAAAAGACCCCTCCCTATGTGTGGTCTGAAATTAAAACTTTCTAACTAAAAGAGAGTCACGGCAAGTAGTCATGTCCTAGGTCTGTATCTTCCCTGAGGAAAGTCAATTTTTAAAAAGATTTTATTTATTTATTTTTAGAGAGAGGGAAAGGAGGGAGAAAGAGAGGGAGACAAATTCACATCAATGTGTGGTAGCCACTTGTGTGCCCCCAACTAGAGGCCAGGCCCACAACATAGTCATGTGCCCTGACTGGGAATTGAACCACGGACCTTTTGGTTCACAGACTGGCGCTCAGCCCACTGAGCCACACCAGCCAGGGCAGGAAAGTCAATTTTTATCTTACCTGAGCCCATCTTTGTATTTAGCACATTTGTTAACATATGGAACATTTTGGAATGTCAGGATAATTTCCTTTTTTCTCAGGGCACAAACACTGCATGAGGGCAGAGACCAAGAAACTACTCTGTGTTATTATTATGTTAATTCATTAAGTATTAATGATGTTATACACAGTAATATAAAACAATTGTGTGCCCATTCATCTTTAATTTTTATTTAATATCAGGGATTTTCCTGCTTTGCTTTCTCCCACCTCCATGACCCATCACCACTGGATTTCAAGTTCCCAACTTATACATCTTCCTTTTGATTCAGATGTATAAAATAAGTGGTAAAAAAATAATAATAAAATAAAGTAAGTGGTAAAACTGCCATTTCCTAAGTATTTTCACTCTCTATAGAGATTTTGTGTCCTGAAACCGTCCTCACTTTGGCACAAATAAACATGTTAAAACGTCTCTATAGTTTGAATATTTTTGACACTGAGCACCTTAATATTTCCCGAGACCTGAACTCAGGATTGGTGTATCACCAGGGTCTTCGTATTTAAAGTTGAAAAATTACCAAGGGAAGAGTCTTTACACACTAAATGGTAATGTTATCACCAGGTGGGGATCGGAAGGACCCTGTCCTTCTTTGTCTAGTTTGATAATTATTTTCAACTTCAGAACCTGTGGGAAGAAGCAATCAACCACTCTCAGCTCCTGGTAAGCAGGTCTTAGCTGTCCCAACCTAGCCCTGACTAAGGTGACCTCCGGCCAAGTGTCTCCTCAGAGCGGCCTCTTACCAGCTCCATGACCTTTAACAAGAGCCCTTCTTCCTGTGCCTCAATGTCGTCATCACCACACTCCTGCCGATTTTCTCTCAGACGGATCTGAAAGGCTTTCAAAACCATGACACAACCTGCATCTCTTTCAGTTCACGTCCATCCAGAACTCCCCGGACCGACCCTCAGAAAGAAGGTGAGACCCCTCCACCTCAGACTGTTTAAAGCAGATGTAAGGCCAAGACCACGTGTGCCGGCCTTTCGGGGTCAACGACACCGGCACGTGTTTAGAAGGCGGCACCTTGGCTGGTCACCCACACCAACCGGTAACACCGTGTGTTACCCACGAGCACCTAAGATTCCAGACGCCAGGGCCGGAGCTGTAAGACCTGACGGGCGCCCTGCACCCGGGTCGGTGGGCTGAAGGCGGAGGAAGGCCCGGGGACACTCACTCACCTCAGCGGGGCGTCTTGGGTCGGTCTCCGCCATTGCCTTCGGACTCTGTGGCCCGAGGGTGTCTGGGAGCAGCGGGCAAGGAGGGTGTCCCTGGTGCTGGGGTTACGGCCCCAACCCTGACACCGGACACCCAGGTAGCACACTTGGCCTCACAGCTTCTGCACGGAGCAGCCCACTGGCGCCTTCTCCGACCGATCTTGTGACTACCAGCGCCTGACCCAGCAAAGTAGAAACTGAGAGGAGGAAATACCGTCCAGGAGGCCGGTGGAAGCCCCGCCCCCGAGTGTGGCCCGCAGGGAAATAACCTTTCCTGAGTCTGGACGAAGCTCTGTGATATTCCACGCCTACCTCCTAGGTAACGTAGGTTGTACGGTCCAAGGCTGGGGTCCTGGATTTCCCCATCGGACTCCAGGAGTGGATTTGGTGGTTTAGACCTCAAAGATACCGTGAGAAAACACAATCTGCCCTACAGCCGCCTGGGTGGACCTTATTATTTCTTGGGCGAGTTCGTGTCTGCTATGCCTGCCGGACCTTCGTTTCAGGCCGTGGGGCACGTGCCTCCCTCCCAGGCCGAATGTGGTTGGCGGACGTTGCTCTAGTCCTTAATACTGTGTATTCGGTATCAGTAGGACGCGCAATGTACATTAAATGTAATAAATAACACACTAATACTTAAGTACATGTGTACCTAATGTAGCCAGAAGTCATAGCTCAGCCTGGGCCACATTGTGATGGATTCCTCATTGATGTGATCGGATGCCTCTAACTTACATTCACATTTTTTCCCACATAGTGGAGTATATGTTGACATCAAAGACATGCAATTACATGATTGACAGGGTACCGGCAGCCTGTGTGTAATAAACTTCTCTATGATGGGCTGCAGACCCTCTAGGGCCCCCTGATTGATAGGATAGTATTTCTTGTGGGGATAAGCTACCCCAGGCTTTAGGCAGATTTGGACTGGTTGGGCTGTGCTGGCCCTGCCAGGAACTACAGAGTCCCAAACTAGGGTATCTACTCCTTGTAAAATCTGCTCTGGGATATTATTTTCCTTCTTGTCTTCACAGGCTAGCATAATTATAAGGATCTTCTCTGGTACCTCCTAAAACTTCAGAATAGCTCCTAATCTGGCTAAGAGGCCTCGTCCTAGCAATGGTATGGGGCATTGTGGAATAATTAGGAAAGAATGCCTTAAAATTTGGCTTTCAAACTGATGAATGATAGGGGTACAAGTAAAAACAAGTCCTAGATTATCCTTCAACCCCTATAATACCACTTGAGTTAGAGGAGAGAGGCCCAGTACATGAACTGAGGACCAAGTGGCCCCAGTATCAACAAGAAAATTAATTTTCTTACCTGCCATATCAAGATTCACCCAGGGTTCTTCAGTAGAGATTGACATGCTGGTGTAGGCTGGGGCCACCCTGCTGCACAGGCACCCTCAGTCCTGAAGCGCTGCCGTGGCCGTAGGAGATGATCCCTTTCTGCTCTGGGAGTGGGCGCAGTCTGCCTTCCAGTGGCAGGTATCAGGGTTTGTTCCTCTGCGCTTGGGACATGGCCCTGGAGTGGCCTACTACATTCCTTTGCCTAGTGTCCAGGGCATTTGCACCTAAAACACACTTGATCCTTGTGTCCTCCATGCTTTTGTGACTTTCCCAGGTTACCTTGAGGTGGCTGTCCATGGCCATTGTTGTTGCTAAGAGCTAGTGCAAGCAGCTTTGTAACTGAAAAAGACACCGGCGTTCGGGCTGCCTGTCACTACCAAATCCAATAAACAATGACAGTGATTGAATCTTTTATACGCGCTTTATTCAGATGGCCGGCGATCCGAGAAGATGGTGGGTTCATATACTAACAAACCATCTTCCGCTTTCTTTCCTGGCCAGATCTTTTATAAGGGGGTTGGGGGAGGGCAAACAGGAATCAGTGAGAGTCTTTGAAGTTCACAGCTGCAGCACTTCTATCCTAGGCAATAGCTATCTCCAAGGGGGAGGGGTAGTCGCCTGTTCTTCCCAATACACATGTCTCCAGGAGGTAATCTCTAGCCAGCACCCCAGGAGGTCAGCCACTTTTTCTCAGGCGCCAGATGGGCCTTATCTGTAGTTTCTGAAACAAAAACTTAACATACACATTACTTGCTAGATTTATGGCTATTTACCTTAAGCTAAAATTTTCTAAGTCTTAAGCCCCCTATCAGCTTGGCCTGTCTTTCCTCTAAGTCTCAGCTGATGAAGACAGAAAAGGCAACATCCATCAGTTGTGCCAAAGGGGTTTGGGGCCCCATTTGTAATTTCTGAAGCTTTTTACATATATCAGGGGCTGACTGGGTGATAAAGTTTTTCCTATCTAGAGAAGATGGGTCTATGTTAGTGTATTTCTGAAAGGCCTCTATCAGTCTGTTATGGAAGAGTGCAGGGTTCTCTTCCTTTCCTTATGTTATTTCCTTAACCTTATCATAATTCACTGGCTTTTTGATACAGGCCCTCATTCCATCTGATAAGCACTGCATCATGACAGATTTACTTCTGTTCCTTCCTGGTGTATTATAGTCCCAACTGGGCTCATGATCTGGGACAGCATTCACTGCAGGCCTCGAATTACTAGGGTCTTCAGTATGTAATTGATCTGCATGTTTGTGGGCCCCTTCCCAAATTAATTGCTTGTCTTCTGGAGAGCAACATGTTGTCAGAACTATATAAAGGTCCTTCCAAGCCATATCAAAAACATAAGTTAATATATGGAAGTTATTAATGCAGCATGAGGGATGCTCAGAAAAGTTTCCTAGCCTTTCCTTGCACTACTATAGGTAAGCTATTGAGAAAGGTATGTGAACTCAAGTAGGGAGCCTTCTGCACCTGCTACTTCTCTCAGAGGCAGGAGGCCAGAAGGGGCAGGGAGATATGAGGCTCACTCCTAGTATGCCCCGCTGGACTGGGTTTCTCCTTCTTTGGTAACTTTGGGTATATTGGTGAGTAGGGTGGAGGAGAAGTTGTAGTTGTCAACTCAGGGGTTGAGGTCTTAGGGTTCTGAGGCTTATTAGATTCTCCCGGAGAAACAGATGTGCTAACCTCTTCTTTCCCCTGAGAGACAGGTGTGTGTGGGGATAATGTGCGGACTCCTGAGGCTCAGGTTGAGTAAGGACAAGCAGCTGGAAGTCTGTGTCAGCCCTGGCAAACCAGGCGGCATCAGAAAGAAGGCTTTCTGAGACCGGACTCCTGGCTTGTATTACTCCCCCGGGGCTAGTAGGATAAGAGCCATTATCTCATACCAGGAGTTGAGTTTTGGGAAAATGAGTCTTGGGAAAAGAACAAAGATATAAGTGTACTCTACAAATATGTAAACTTGTTAGGAGCTGTTTTGAATAGGTGCAGCTGTGCTAAAATTCAATATACTTAGGAATACTTGCCAAATATATTTTTATAAATATCACTGCTAATAAAGCCTGAGCATGCATTTGCTCTTGATCACCCGCATTTGCATCCCCTGCGTCCTGATTTGCGCGAGCTCCGCCGCTCGGACACTCACCCAGGGTTCACGACGCAGCGACGTCGACCACAGGTGTGGAACTTAAAAGCAGGTCATCTAGAATGTCATCGGTAAACCCTAAAATAGATGTTTCCTTTGACCCAGAACAAAGAGATGGAGTGTGAGATAACACACACACACAGAAGTCTTTACATAGGGAAGCTCCGACCACTTGCCTAGCCTCGGACAGAATAGATATAACTGGAGTATGGTGGTGTAATTGCTACTCCTATTTTCAGGCCATTTCTCCCTCTCTCCCAACTTATACTGAGGCCAAGCTGTGTTACACAAGAAAGTCAGTGTCTTTATCTTGAGACACTCAAGGTCAAACTTGTCCCAGTTTCTAAGGGTGTATCCTAATGGGGATCCTGGATAGTTTGGGTGGGCTTTTATTCCACATGTACAAGTAGTTACATTACTTTAAAGCTACTGCGCTTGTGGTCTCCCATGATCTTTCTTGATTGACCACTGGGGAAGGAGGTTCCACAATGTTAATGTATTATAATGCTAGTATAATGAAGCAAGGGTCATGTAGCATCTTCTGTGCAGGTACATTCTCATTATAAAAAACATCCTATGCAAATAATACCATAGAGAGCAGGAGGATAACAATTGTAATTACTACACACCCAAACACAGAGCACCAAGTAAAAAGGCAAATAATATGAGATCTGAAAGTGGAAAACACAATGCAACACAACTAGACAACTTGAATATTCTCCTTGCAATATGTAGATCATCTATTTCAAAAGCAGTAAGGTATTATTGAAGTTTGAAAATACTACTGAGAAAACAGAGCTGATAAATATATGCATAAGTATTTTATTCAGCCCTAGCCAAATGGTGCACTCAGGGCATTGTCCCATGGCCCAAAAGGCTGCAACTTTCATTCCTGGTCAGGATGCAAACCTAGATTATGGGTTTGAGTCCCTGTTATAGACATGTATGGGAGAAAACCAATTGATGCTTCTATTTCACAATATTTCTCCTTCTCCCTCCCTTCTTTCTCTAACAATCAAAAAATATTTTGCAGTAAGGACAAAAAATATAAATAGTTGTAGAAATGCTGGAGACTATAAAAGATGCTTTTTCTTACTCATCAATGTGCATTCTGTTAGGCTTCTGGCAATACTACTGAGGTCAAA